CAACAAATACAAAGTAAGTAACCCCATCCAAAAATGGGCAGAAGAGCAAAAAAGACACTTATCCAAAGACGAAGTGAGGATGGCCAACAAGTACATGAAAAAATGTTCGACACTGGTGAGGATGTGGAGAAAAAAGAACTCTCCTGCACTGCTGGTGGGAATGCAAACTAGTACAACCACTGTGGAAAACTGTTTGGAGTTTTCTCCAACTGCTTAACATGGAGCTTCCCTACAACCCAGCAATCCCACTCCTAGGTATCTACCCAAAAGACATAAAAACACTGATTGAAAAAGATACTTGCAGCCCCATGTTTATTGCTGCTTTATTTACTATTGGAAAAACATAGATGCAGCCCAAATGCCCAAAAGTAGATGACTGGATTAAAAAGATTTGGTACATATATACAATGGAATATTACTCAGCAACCAAAAAAAAAGAAAAGAAAAAAAGAAACACATGTCTTTTGCAGCAACTTGGATGGAGCTAGAAAAGATCATGCTTAGTGAGATAAGCCAGAAAGAGAAAGAAAAATACTGGATGGTTTCGCTCATTGCAGGAGTATAATGGACCAGGAGAGAAAATAATAAGAATAATGAACAGCCATATACCAGAGATATTTTGTGGGGGTAAAGTGGGGAATGGGATCAAAAATGGGGAGGGAGAGAAGTACACGGGACTATGGTGATGGCACACGGGTGACTCGGTGATGGGAAACCCACAGGGATTACAATTGAGATGAAAAAAAATGTACAAAATGATGTAAAAATAAGCTATTATATAAAAAAAATGTTCAACATCACTTGTAATAAGGGAGATACAAATTAAAACCACAATGAGATACCACCTCACACCAGTGAGAATGGCACATCTTAAAACAACTAGCAACAACATATGTTGGTGGGTACGTGGAGAAAAAAGGAACTCTCCTGTAATGCAAACTAGTACAACCATTATGGAAAACTGTTTGGAGATTTCTCAAACTGCTAAAAATGGAGCTTCCATATGACCCAGTAATCCCACTACTAGTTTTCTACCCAAAATCACAAAAACACTGATTCAAAGAGATACCTGCACCCCCATGTTTATTGCAGTTTTATTTAAAATTGGAAAGACATGAAGACAACTCAAATGCCAAAAAGTGGATGATTGGATTAAAATTATGTGGTACACATACACAATGGAATATTACTCAGTAAACAAAATAAATAAATAAATAAATACAAGCCTTCTGCAGTAACATGGATGGAGCTGGAAAAGATCATGCTTAGTGAAATGAGCCAGAAAGAAAAGGAAAAATACCAGATGGTTTCACTCATAGCAAGAATATAACTGACCAGGCAAGAAACTTATAATAATGAACAGCTATATGCTAGCGACATTTTATGGGGGTGGAGTAGGGAATGGGATCAAAAACAGTGGGGGTAGAGAAATGCACTGAACTATGGTGATGGCATTTGGGTGATCTGGATGGGAGGCCCACAGGGATTACAACAGAGATGTAAAAATGCATAAAATTATGTAAAAATAAACTATTATAAAACACACACACACACACACCTGGACTCATGCTACCCAATGCAATTCTCTTTTCAGTGCCTGTCTCTATGACTTACCTTTATTTCCTGAAGTTTTAAGGAACTCTTCCCTAATCAATCCTCAAAACTTTACTTATGAATATCTCCTATGTGGTTTTATATCACGGTGTTTATAATATCCTATTTCTATACTGAGGTACTGTCTTGCAAGTTTAAGTAAAGGCTTTGAGCCAGCAGTGAATATATAGATACTTGTCCCACCACAACCATAATATGCTAATATGTAGATCCTGGAGTGGAAGTGAGGGTGACACTCTTAATGATTGTAGCTAATTACACACTACCAATTTTTCAATAGTTGGTCCTCTAATATTCTGGAAATTTTAAGACTCAAGAGAAAAACTAGATGTTCCATTGGATTGGACATGGAAATTTTAAATAATCGACCTAGGATCTGTATGATACAAAGAGAGCAAAATAAGGGTAATTGGCCAACACATTGGCTAAATGATTAACCCTGAGAAAAACAACCCATGTAGAATACATCCTGTATTACTTTCTCACAGAAAAATGCTCAATGAAACTACTAAAAGGAAGTTTATTTAAATATTTAATAAAAAGCCTGAGAACCAAGAATTCAGACTTCTTAAAACTGAAAATGTGGTCATACCACCAAACTGAGTACTGCATGATACAATGTCTTAGTTGAAGAGATATGGAATATGGAATGAGTAACTTCTAGTCTCATGATCAGTTATAAAAAAACAAGTTCCCACTTATATTTTCTTGCTTCCACTATAAACTTTTCTCATTTTTCCTCTTTCTATTGTAAAACCATGACAGTAGGCCCTCCCTGGTGGCACAGCGAGTTAAAGCACAGCACTAAGAAGCAAAAGCCACTTCAGCATGAGTTTGATCCCCGTACTGGAGGTGATCCACATGGTGTGGCAGTCTTCTCCTGACCTGCCGCTGCTCTCTTCAGCAGTGTACTTCATCCATCTGCCTGTTTGGCTCCCTACTCTGTCTCTGTAAATCCTCTCACTGCCCCTGCACCTCTGGCCCCAGTTTTGTATATGAACAAATAAATAATCCTAAAAATAAAAGCTAACATTAATTATGGTAAAAATTTATGGAATGAAAATTATAACCAAGTACTATTTTAATTCATTAGCACATTAATTCTTAGACAATGTCTACAGTTATTACTCGTATTTAACAAGTGAGGAACTAAGGTATCAAAAAAAAAATAGTTGGCTAAAATTAAGTATCACAGCTGGGAAATAGCAGAAAATTATTATGAATCTGGATAGCCTTGCTCCAGTGTCTGAACGCCAAAACGAACTTTATAATATATATTATATAATATATAATTGATATTAAAATTCTATATAATTTATAGTTTGTAAGATGCAGTCAAACAATTTTTTTAAAAAGTGGTTTTAATATAGAGAGTAGAAATTGATTAAGTAATGGCATTATAAATGCAGTAACTAGTTATTAGATTGTCTCTTTTTGGAGAGATACACATGAGAATTATACATAAAATAATTGTACTTATTTTTTAAAAGATTTATTTATTTATGCATGCAGATCTGGGGTACAAGCCAGAGGAGCAGGGGCAGTGAGAGGCACCTGAAACAGTGTGGGGAGAAGAATAAGGAGAGGGAGACCTACAAAGGACACTGCTGAGGGGAGCAGCTGGAGAAACAGGAGAGATCTGCCTTGCCATGCGGATCACAGGGCTGGGGATGAACTCGCACTAAAGCAGCTGCTGCTAGCTTGCAGTGCTGCATCCTAATCTGTTGTGCCACCAGAGAGGGCTAAATTAATTGTACTTTTAAATTATTTATGTCTATGAATAATTGTGTATGCGTACATGCATACACAAGGAAGAAAAAAAAAAAAAAGGCCCTCCCTTGCGGTGCAGTGGGTTAGGACGCAGAACTGCAAACTAGCTGTAGCTGCTTCAGTATGAGTTCCATACAAGGATTCACCAGAGACAGAGTGGGAGCAGAACAGGCAGATAGATGAAGTACACCACTGAGGGGAGCAGTAGGCAGGTCAGGAGAAGTCTGCTGATCACATCCAGAGCTGGGAATCAAGTTCAGGCTGAAGTGGCATTAGCTTCTTAGTGCTGTGCTTTAACCCGCGGCACAGGGAGGGCCCAATAAATAAATCTTTTTAAAAAGAAAAAAAATAGGGCAGTAAAGTGGTCACATACAGTGATAATCTGTTGGTTTTTATGCACCTAGCATCTTTTCTATTATCTGCTCACTACAGTATATTCCTCACCAGTATAAGAATCAAGCATTTCCCACATTTTGTGGTCTTACAGGAACTTCCAAAGAAGTTCCTGTACTAGGAATCACAGGATCTAAAATGAAAGTGAAGTGATCATATTCCCCCACTGGGAACACTAACTTTCAGTGGAGAAACACATTTTTAAAAATGGGAGGAAGTTATAGAATTAAGTTATTTACTGGTGGTTGCCCATTAGATGGTATAAAATTGTCCTAGTCAAGTTCTTCCTTTAGACCTTTCTTGCTTAATTCTTCCTTCAAATCTATTTGCCACTTGATTGTTTTAGAACCTATTTAGAAATCTATGTTATTGCCTGCAAAAAAAAAAAAAAAAATCCCTGTTTGATAAAGTGATTATTATTTCTAATTTAAGAAGCCTAGTGCAAAAACTGATTTATTTCATATAAATATTTCATATAAAGGTATCACTGATTTCATATAAAGACCTGCTAAGGTCAGGCTGAAATCATTATGTGTATACAAAACTTAATGAAAAAGGTAAAATTTTATATTAATGATTCTGAAGATGCTTTGTCACAGCCACTGTTTCTAAACATGGATTGACAACTGTATTCTGATCAGATACTACATAGAAACAATATACAAGAAAATGGTAAGATATAGAATTATAGAGTACAAAATACAAGAAAATTTCTTCACTTTATTACCTCCTTCTATGTATTTCATCATTTGCACAACTTTCATAAGCTATAGCTCATATGATAGTATCATTTTCAGTTAAGGAATTTCAAGGACCATGGAGCATGTAGCAATGCTTTGTGACATAAATGTGTATAATAGGGCCTCCCTGGAGCACCAAGGATTATATCTCAGCACTATGAAGCAATGAGCAGCTGCCCCAGCACAAGTACAATCCCTATATGGCACAGCAGAACTCTCCTGTCTTGCCTCAGCAGTGTACTTTGTCAATCTGCCTGTTCTGCTCCCCACTCTGCCTGTTTAGTGGATCTTCTTATCCCTGCACCTTTGGCCTATACCCCAGTACTGTGTGCATAAATAAATAAATCTTAAAAAGAGAGAGAGAGAGAGAAAGATGATAATAGAAAAACAAAATATGATAAAGGACAGACAATTTACAGTATTAGAAGGAGAAAGTGTGATATTTATCAACTCAAACAAATACAATGAATATTATGAACTTACCTGTGTTTTTGAAACATTGTAATATCCTGGGCCTGGAGCAACTTTGTCAATGTTAGAGGCAAGAGTAAAAGTACTTTCTCTGGCAGTCAAAGAAAGAAAGGGTGCATAACCATCTATAAAAATAAAATTATACCTCTGTTAGATGAAATGGGATCCTGGTCTGCAAAGTCCCACCAGCCCCCACCCAGACTGGTAAGACCTGAGACCAGATTTGGGAGAGTGCCAGAACTGCCAAAATCCTTGAGAGATACCACCAACCACTGCCAATACCAAGAGAGACATCATGAGACCCTCAAAAACCACTGCCCAGAACAGCAGAGACCTAGTAACCTTCAGCAAGTACCTGCCAACCACCACCCAAATCAGTGAGACCCTAGACCTATGATATAGAGGATGTCAGAGCAGCCAGAGACCTGAGATCTTCCAGAAGACTGTGCTAGCCACTGCTCAAACAACAGAAACCTTAGAATCTTCTTGCCAGGGCCTGCCCAAGAAAATAGAGTCCTTGTGAATTCTCAGAAGATCACTGCCAGCACCTGCTCAGACATGTGGGATGCCAGAAATGTACCAGGGAATCAGAGAGACCATAGGACTCTCTCCCATGAGAACCCACCAGAAGCTTACCAACTAGGTCAGAACCCTGACCAATAATGAGAAAAAGCTATATCCAGAGAAAACTCACATAAATAAAGTGACGGCAGCCAAAGCTAATAGTGGGCAGAAGAAAAAAACAATGAATGGCAACATAGTCCCACAGATAAAAAAAAGTACAAAACAAGAGAGAATATATCACCAAAACTCAATACATAGAAATGGAAATTATGTTCTCCATAGTAGATACAGACACTAAAACTGCAATGAAAAAGAAATTCAAAGAAATAGAAAAAAAAAGCAGCAATTAACATGAAATGAAATGAAATCAGTCTATTTAAAAAAAAGATTTATTTACTTATACATACAAGAACTGGGGTACAGACCAGAGGTGTGGGGGGTGAAAGGATTCACCAGAGATCATAGTGCTGAGACTTAACCATTGTGCCACTAGGGAGGCCACTGAAATCAGTGTTTTATAATTTCTTTGTATAGTTATTTTACCTCTTTTGTTAGGCTTACTACCAAGTATTTGACTTTTTTTATTTCAATTGTAATGGGATTTTTTTTTTCACTTCTGGTTTTTTGGTTGTTTGTGTATAGGAAGGCTTTTGTGTGTGAATTTTTATTCTGCTTGTTTACTAAACTGGTTAATCATTTTGATTAGTTTTTCTATGTTATTTTTAGTGTTTACATGTAAATTATCATATCACCTGCAAATAATGATAGTTTTACTTCTTCTTTCCCTATTTGGATTCCTTCTTTGTATTTTTCCTGTTGTATTGCTCTGGCTAGAACTTCCAGTATTATGTTAAAGAGTAGTAGTGGTAGTGGGCATCCTTGTCTTGTTACTGATCATACAAGAAGATACAAAGAAATAGAAAAGACATCCCCTGGTCATGGATAGAAAGAATTAACATAATTAAAATTGCCACCCTACCAAAAGTGATTTCCAGATTTAACATCATTCCAATAAAAAATCTCAATGATATTCTTCAAAGAAATAGAACAAATGTTGATAAGACTCACACAGAACTACAAAAAACCTCTAAAACAAAGGAGAATGGAGGTATCAAATGCTAAGACTTCAAACTATACTACAAATCCATAAAAATTTAAAAAAGCATAGTACTGGAACAAAGATAGACATACAGCCCAATGGAATCAAATAGAAAACCCTGATATAAACCCACAGTTTTATGGGCAGCTAATCTTTGACAAAGGAGCAAAAAACATGCAATGGAACAAAGAAAGTTTGTTCAACAAATGGTACTGCGAAAATTGGGCTGCTACATGCAAAAAATATATATATAGATTACAGATTACTACCTCACACCATACACAACAAAACCAACTCAAGATGGATTAAAAAACTAGACATAAGACTTGAAACCAAAAAAATATATAAAAGAAAGTATTGGTGAAACACTACATGACATACAACTCAGTAACATCTTTAGTAACATCTTTACATCACCCAAAGTAAAGATAGTGAAGGAAAGTATAAACAGCTGGGATTACATCAAATTAAGAGCTTCTGTACAGCAGAAGAAACATTAAACAAAACAAAGAGACACCCCACTGGTTGGGAGAAAAATTTTGTACACAATACTAATAACAGACTGATCATAAAGATCTACAAAGAGCAGGCAAAATTCAACAAAAATGAAGTGGAAAACCCTATCAAAAAATAAGCTGAATAGTTAAAAACACACTTCTCCAGTGAGGAAATGAAGTTGGCCAACAGGCATATATGAAAAAATGTTCAGCATTGCTTGTAATAAGAGAAATGCAAATCAAAACCACAATGAGATACCACCTCACATCATTGAGATGGTACATATTAAAACAACTAGCAATAATTTTGGTGAGGATATGGAGGGAAAAAAAGAACTCTCCTACACTTTTGGTGGGAATATAAATTGGTACAACCACTACAGAAATCTGTGTAGAGGTTTCTCAAATTGCTAAAAATGGAGCTTCCATATGACCCAGCAATCCCACTCCTAGGTAGTTACCCAAAGGACACAAAAATGTTAATTCAAAAGAACACCTGCATTCCTATGTTTTATGTTTTATGTTGCACTATTTACAATAGTGAAGGTGTGGAATCAACCCAAATGCCCACAAATAGATAACCGTACCAAGAAGATGTAGTACATATATACTATGGAATATTACCTAGCAATCAAAAAAGATAAACCCATGCCATTTGTGGCAACATGGACAGACTTGGAAGGGATCATGCTTGGTAAATAAGCCAGAAAGAAAAAAGAAAAGTACTGGATGGTTTCACTCATAGCATTAATGTAAGGGATCAGGAAAAAAAAAAGCAACAGTAATAAAGTAAAAAGTTAAATCAACAAACAACTATAAACCAGAGACAAGAGCACATGGGGCTATGATGATGGCAACTGGGTGAACTGGTGGTGAGACGGCCATGGGGATTACAATTGAGATGAAAAAATGTGCAAAAGAATGGTGATATATATATATATATATAATGAAAAACTTAAATAATTTTAAAAAGAAATGAAATCATTGTACTAAAGACAAAAAAATGAAGTTCTAAATAATATAAAAATAGAGTTTTAGGGTTTCAAAAGAGAAATATAGGAGATGAAAATTTCAGAAGAAAGTTATAGAAGTAAAATCAATTGAGTGGAAGAGAAACTCGGTGTAATTGAAGAAGCATATATAAAAAGAACCCAGTTAGAAAAGGAAAGACAAACACAACACTTTAAAAAATGAAGAAACACTCCAAACCATACTCAAATCCAAGAGAAAAGGCAGCATAAGAATAATGTGAATACGAACATGGGAAGAGAATGCAAAAGTAGCAAAAATCATTTAAAGAAATAATTGAGGAAAAATTCCCAAACCTAGAGTGGGATCAAATCAAGAAGCTAACAACAGCACATATCTATATAAAATGAGATCAACACACAAACACAAAAACAAGTAGTAAAATTACCAAAAAGAAAGAATGCTGAAACTGGCAAGGGAGTAGAAATAGGTAGTCTATAAAGGTGTGCCTGTCAGGCTAATGTAAGACTTCTGTGAAGAAACACTGTGACTAAGGAGATGATATAATGGAGTTTTCTGGATATTTAAAGAGAAAAGCTGTCAGCCAAGAATACTCTATCCTGCAAGAATCTCTTCTACATAGAAAGGAGGAATAAAGCCTTTTTCAGCCACCAAGAATCTCAAGGATTTTGCAAACATTAAATATTAAGAAGACATATTAAAAGGAGTTTACAGATTGAAATCAAAGAGGAACATACACAAAGATCTAAATAAAACAACTGATTAACACACAAAATTACAAATAAAATGGCATCAATAGACTATCTCATATCAATAATCACTTAAAATGTAAATGACTGAACACAGTAATTACAATAAACAGATAAGCCACTTGGAACAAAAATCAGACTAAAACTTTCTGCTCTGTCCAAAAGAAAAACCTAAACTCAAATAATAAACCAATTTCAAAGTAAAGGATTGGAAAGTAATCATACAAGCAAATGAGACAGGGACAGGGATAATATATAATTATAAAGGGATAGATACATCAAAAAGAAAGACATAACACTTATCAAAGTATATACACCAAATTAAAGAGTACCAAAATACAAAAAGGAACTACTATCGACTCTGAAAAAAAAATTGCAAAAAATGTGTTGCTGTTTTTGTGGTAGGAGACTTCTATACACCACTCTTTGCAATGTAAAGATCAATAAGACAGAAAATACACAGGTATACAATAACCTTAAACAGAGAATAAGCCTTTATGAAACATACAGTATACAGTACTATATACAGTAAAATGTATACAGTACATTGTACCATCAAAATGCAGAATAAAAATGTTTCTCAAGCACACATGAGGCACTTTCCAGACTAGACCACATTCTAGAACACAAAACAAATAACCACAATTTTATGAAGACTGAAATCAGATCTACCCTTTTCTTAGAACATAATAGTACCAAACTAGAAATCAAATATCAAAAGAAAGCAAGAACATCTTTTAATTCTAGGAGACTGAACAACACACACTACTGAAAAACTACTGGTTTGGTGAGGAAATCAAAGAAGTTAAAAAGTACCTGGATATAAATGAAAATGAGCAAACTTCATTCCAAAACTTATTGGAATCAACAAAACAGTGCTAAAAGGGAAAAAGCTAAAAAACAGAGAGAGAGAGAGAGAGAGAGAGAGAGAGAGAGAGAGAGAGAGACCAAATGATAAGTGAAAACAAAAGCTGATTCATTGAAAAAAAAATAAACAAAATAGACAAAACTCTAACAAAGCTCAACAAGAAAATAAGGGAGAAATCTAAAGCAAATGGAATAAAAATTACAGTGGAGACATCACAGCAGATGCTGCAAAAGATCAGAGAATAGAGACTTCTATTAACATTTATATGTGAACAATTCAATAAACTAGGGAAGAGATGAATAAATTCTTAAAATTTATATCACCCAGACTGAATAGGAAAGAAACAGAAACTTTTAAT